CCGGCATTGTGGGTAGGGAAGGAGGAGGAGGAGGAGGAGGAGGAGGGAGAGAGAGAAAGAGAGAGAGAGAGAGAGAGAGAGAGAGAGAGAGGAGTGGACGGGAGGTGGCGGATGGGCTCTGGTTAAGGGGCCGTGAGAGGCAAGAAAATTGCAGCATCGTCCGGGCCACTTCCACGGGGCCGCGAGGGACGACGACAACGACGACACCGACGACACCGACGACATCGCATGCGCCCGGGTTGTCACTCGGATTATGTATGCGGCGAGATGCCAGGCGAAATTAATGGCGATTACATTAACGTCATTGGGGAAAAACTTTGTATGGGCAGTGGCAGCATTATCGGAGGATCGAGGTGCGCGCCAGCTTCATTGATCCGCGATTGATTTATCATTATTTCATGCCCGCGACGTCGTCTCCAGGGGCCGCAACTCAAACTTCTTCGTCTACGACTAATTGATTTCAGAGTAATGACGTCGAATAACAAATTCCGCTATAACTTTGAGCGATAATTACATTTTCTTTGCTCCGATGTTATAAACCACTGCCGAGTTGTACGGCATTCGACATTACAATGCTTTGAGTAATGGCTTCCGTCATTTTGAAAATGGCCTTGTCGTAAACAAATAAATGTGCAGCATAATTTTAGCTAAGGTTTATCAAAATTCAAACTGTATTTCACATACCGTTTTCATAAATTAAATATCGAATATTCAGTCGGCCCACTTTATGACAAACGAACGTGGCCGCCTTTCGCATTCGAGCCTTGAACATTCAATGCGCCATTTTACATAAGAATCCGTACGAACATGTTACATATTATAAATTGCAAGAAAAAGTGGCCACGAAATTCCTTGATTATCAATGGAGCATTGACATTTCCGTGCATTATATTCTACGCGAATGAATGATCGATCGGGCTTATTGTGACGTCCGTGAAAAGAAGCGAAATAGCACTTGACGAAAATTCCTGTTAAATAAAAAAATAAAAATAAAAAAAAAGCAAAACTAAGAAGATATAATAATTTCAAAATAACATATCCTAAATATACTGATTAAGTTCTATAGTGCAAAAAAGAAAAAGCAAACGTATTAAAAACATTGTCGTAATCATTACTGAATGACATATCTCGGATATAATCAATTCCAAAAGTCTCCCCTTTCAATTTGTATCCATCGCGTACGAGCATTAAAAGACGAAGGGTAAAAAAAGAAATAAATAAATACATCTCGCCGTACGCTGCTGTATATGTGTGTATAGAAAAGACCTGCAGGGATCAGCGTGGCGGCGCGATTAGAAAACGAAAGAAGGAAGGTAGTACTCGCGCGATCGTGAGAGACAGACACACAGACAGACGGACGGACGGACGGACGGATGGACGGATGGACGGATGGACGGATGGACGGACGAACGGACGGATGGACAGAGGGAGAGGGAGAGAGAGAGAGAGAGAGAGAGCGACGATACTGCCAGAGAGAATAGAAGAGAATAGAGAGTTGGTAAGAGTGAGTGAATGAGAGAGTGAGAGAGAGAGAGAAAGAGAGCGGGAGAGAGTGGGAGAGAATAGTAAGAGGAGAATCATTGGAACCAAAGATTTTAAAAAGTGTTGAGAAACAGGAAAGATGAGATATAAACAGAATAGCATCCTTCGCATAAAAATAAAAGTTTCGCATTCACCATTTACGCGGCTATTATCCTTATTTCTTTTTATTATTATTTTTTATTTTATTTTATTTTTTTATTATTATTATTTTTTATTAATTATTTATTTTATAGTTGCCAAAAGAAACAAGATCGGCCGATGTCTTGTGTGGTCGCCAAAAGTCTAAAACTCAAATTAAATACGACCTTAAAGCTATTTAAATTTAATTAATCACTCATCCCCTCATTAACAATGTGGAATTTTTAATATTCACTTTACTTCTCTGATAATATTAAAAACATTTTTTGTCATTTATTGACTCAGCTACGTATATCACTATTTTTTATTGCGGTTAACGGTAAGACAGTAATCATGAGCACCGATTGAGATAAGCAAAAAAGAGGAAGTATTACGAGTCATATAAAGTACTGAAAAAAATTTATCAAATGACGAAATATAGTTATTGCTTATAAATAATGATATAAATAGAAAATAGGTAAAATATTAATAAAATATCGACGAAGAAGTGGAGAGGTTGCATATGAATAAAAATGATAAAAGAGTAATAGATGAAATTATAAATTTATAAAGAAGAAAGGAGACTTATCGATGGATGTAATAAGCGAGTAGAGAAGAATTAGCTAGTGTATTAGTAAATTAAAAAAAAAATTTTTAATAGAAAGTATTATTCATAGCCGTCAAAGCAAGAATACAGGTTACATTAAATATTATTTGTTTTTCTATTGTTGTTATAAGAATCTTGATAATTCTGCTGTCTTACAAGCTTATACGTAGAGGAATTTTTAAATATTCAAATATAACTTACAATATGTAATACGTGAGTAAGCATTGGTTTAATTACATAATATTGGTGGTATCGGATATTGGTAAAAAGGGGACAACAAAGACAAAGAAATATTAAATTACGGTCTATTCGACTGTATTGGTAAAGAAAAGATGCAAAGGAAGAGGTTGCAAATCGTAAAAGAGCAAATATGAAATAAGAAAATAGCGTAGAAAATGAAAAGGATAGTAATGAGCGAAGGAGTGAGGGGGGGGGTGACAGTCGGACAAATAGACAAATAGAAAAAGAGGCAGGTAAAGAACAGGAAAGAAGAGAGAGAGAGAGGGCGAGAAGAGTGAACGAGAGACAGAAGAAGAGGCGAATGGTATGTTCTTCGCGAGATAACTTTCAAACTTCCTCGTGGACTGAGGCTCTCGCACAAACACACACACACTCTCTCGCTCTCTCTCTCTCTCTCTCTCTCTCTCTCTCTTGCCGTGCGGACAATGGCGACGAAGCTGACAGGACAAGGTCGAACAGAGTGAACGAGAGAGTGTGAGAGTTAGTGCGAGAGTGAGTACGCGTGCGTGTGTAAGAGAGAGAGAGAGAGAGAGAGAGAGAGAGAGAAAGTGGCAGAGAGCGAGAAAGAGATTTCTCTTTTCAAAGGAGACGAGAGGAGACGACTGCGGACGACGGGACCAAGTTTTGCGTCTCGGTCCGCCGCGAGAAGCCGATTACTTCGGGCTTCGCGCACCACTCACGGCTTTCTGACCCCCTCGGCCAGTTTGCATATTTCAATTCGCGGAATGTTGATTTCGATGCCTTCGGCCTGACTGCCACCGCGATGTTGATTGATTGCCCCGGAATGAGTGCGAGGGAAAATGCTTTTTCCTCTCCTCGTTCTATCCTCTGTCCCTTTGCCAGTTGACTTTTGTTGCCGATGATTCGCCTGGATGAGTGCGCGATTGGGACGCCCTTCGAGCTCCGGTCCCGGTCCGAATATGTAGGATAATCCCATCTTTCTTTTATCTCGTATATCTTGCCACCCTACCTCGTCCCCCCCCCTCCGCCTAACCCCTACCACAATCACCACGTCCTCACGCCCCTAATCCTAACCCAGCCATCCATCGAACTATCGCAAATCCTCCCCCGGCTATCAAATTAGATATCCCACTTCATTCGAGTTCCGAGAGTTCCGATAAGTCATGATTACCCATTGTCGATTTACTTAAGCTATATTATGGTCGGCTTCGTTATGCTGGTGGACATCCTTTCACTTCTACAGCAAACTTTGTTTTTGTACAACAATTTTATAGCAAAGCTCGTACTCGGCCCGAAATTTATTTACTCTAGTATATTAAAAGAGTAGTAGCAATGGCGCCGATGATGAGAATAATACTTATAGCTTTGTTAATCCTCCGAGCTGCATGGCTATGTATGATGGTTATGAAGCATTTCCAACAACGGCAAATTTATGATATCGATAGGGAAAAACTGCATTCCACAAAGTCAAAAAACTCTCGATTTTTAATTGTATGCAGCACGTGAAGGAAATAGAAAATGTTATAACCCTGTAACCGATGGCTGTAAATGAACGTTAAATAAAGACTTTAATGTTTGACCAGCACTAACATCATCCACTAATTATATGGCTTCGCCACAGAAACTCAATGTATGCTGTTTTACATCGCAACAACATTGTGCATTAAAATATTGTGATAATATAATTTGTCGGCATTAAGATAACACATTTAATTAATAAAATTTCTAGCGCCCGGCTTAGAGTCATTCGAAGAATGCGCATTAATGCATTAATGGAGGCACCAAGCGGCATCGCTCGTTACGATAAATTATTAATATGAGAAATAAAATAATTATGGTGCGGATTGTTTAGGAATAATATTGGCATGCAACTTAATTATCGTAATAAGATAATTCACCGAGCCGAGATTATTTCGCCTTAGCTCCCAGTGCCACTTGTATTTCGCCTAAACTATCCGTTCGAGCTTTATAAATCAAAATACTCAACGCTGTAATTTAAAATAATGACATTAATTTACGCTCTCGGCGTGTAAAGTGAGCGCCTCTCCCTCTCCATTCGCTCATTATCGCCCTGAGATTTCGATAAACGCGTCGAAAAGAAGGAAAGCGATTTCCAATAAATTCGCGCCTTAGAGGTAGAGAGAATTGGCGGTGGAGCGCGTACATTCGTAACGATGCTGAAAATAAAATTCCGAAACGATAAAACCTCGCGAGGGATAAATTTAATCGACGGATTTCGGCTGCTTTTGCACGTCATGCCCACGAATGAGGGCGAAACGATCGCCCGACAATTCTCATTCCCATGGAGGATGATTCCTCCTTAACCAACGCTCGTGTCCACAACAACAAGCAAAAGAAGGAAAAACAAACTAACGAAAATAAAACAAAAAAAAAAAAAAAAAGGAAAAAAGAAAAGAAAAGAAAAAATGACGAAGCAACGACAACGACAATAGCAAAAGCAGCAACGACGACGAAAAAGCAAATGCGAAAAAAACAAATGAAAAATTCGCTTCTTTTTTCTCTGTCTTTACAGGCTCGCCACCACTGACCGGCTCCGGCATCGTCAGGATCGTCGTGCTCGACATGAACGATCATAGCCCGGAGTTCTCCCGTCAACAGTACAAAGCCTCGGTGACGGAAAATCTGCCGGCCGGTGCCTGGGTCGCTAATCCCCTGGCCACCGACAAGGACGAAGGATTCAACGCCAAAATCCGGTAAGACGCTCGCCCCGCGTCTCGCGCTTTTATCATCCCGGACGAAAGCTGCTTACGAAAACAAGGACGATTTTTTTAAATTAAAAAGCAAATGGGAATTCCTCGGATTCCTCTTTGTGCCGCTGCTAAAGCCATCAAGCCGAGATTAATTAACTTGGAAGCAGTGCGGCTGTCGTAAAATTCCCGAATTACGAAGATTGATTTTTATATAAACGTATAAAGTAGTGGCCGCCGGCTTGTAAATTATTGGAACTCGGATATTGGAAATAGGAACTCGGAACTGCCGGCGTTTTCTCTACGTATGCGAGTAGCCGTAAACTCGCGATTTTAGGTCGCGAAAGTCAATACATGTATTGCAAAGATAAGAAAAGAAACGAGTGTCCTTGAAACTTGGGCGAGAGATGGTGACACTCTCGATCTCAGCGTTACCCCAAAGCAACAAAAACGTCAGCCAACATCTTAACCGATTAGAACGAGGCTAATAAAAGCATATTAAACGATTAAATTATTAAACGATTAAACGATATTAAACG